GTGAGAAAGTTGTAGTAGTAAGACATAGCTTAATATTATCGATGATAGACGGTAAAGTTTGTAACGCTCTCACTGAAACTACATCTACACAAAAGTGTTACTTATGCGGCTCCACCAGCAAAGATTTCAACCAAATCGATAAAATGATAAAAAAGGAAATTAACACTGATAATTTACAATTTGGGTTATTAATTTTGCATGGATGTATACGATTTTTTGAGTGCCTTCTTCATCTGTCATACAAACTGTCAATCAAAAAATGGCAAGCTAGAGGAGACTCCGAAAAGCAAATTGTGGAAAAAACTAAAGCAGAAATTCAAAAGCAATTTAAAGAGAGGACTAGTTTAATTGTTGATTGTCCAAAACCCGGATTCGGTAGCTCCAATGACGGAAATACGGCCAGGCGTTTTTTTCAGAATGCGGAACTATCAGCGGAGATTACGAAAATCAACGTTAATTTAATAGTCCGAATGCATAATATACTGATTGTTGTTTCGTGTGGTCATGACGTAAATGTACATAAGTTTCGGGAATATGCACATGAAACGGCTAGAATATTTGTAGAACATTATCCGTGGTACTATATGCCTCCAACATTGCATAAATTTTTTATTTACGGACCTGAAATAATAGAATACGCATTGTTACCGATTGGCCAATTATCGGAAGAAGCGCAGGAAGCTAGCAACAAAAATTTCAAAAAATATAGAGAGAGTAATTCCAGAAAAATGGATCGAGAAAAGTCGAATCAAGACGTTTTTAACATGATGCTGATTACTTCTGATCCAATAATATCAAGCAGGAGAAAATTGCCTGAAAAAAAATTACACAGCCTACCAAAAGTAGCTGTGGATATGTTACAATCTCCATCCTTAAATTTGCCAAAAGCTTATGCCAGAGACAATAACAGTGCTCATGGCAGTGATTCCGACGAGGAAGATGGTGACGATGATAGTAATGATGATGCATAATATATTGTTTGTACTGAAATTTATAATGAAATGTTTTTGTTTTTATTTAATATAATAAATAGTCGAATTATCGCAATATCTAATTTTTTCGTAATATTTTAGGGTGTTATACAGAAAAACCTGTATCATCGATATCTCGCTAACTAGGCGATTTATCGATAACTTCATTTTAGAAGTTTGAAAAAACAAAATTATCTGGTCTAGTAAAACGCAAAAAAGTTATCGATTTGTTTAAAACTTCAAAATGAGATATCTCGATAACAAATCGAGTTATCGATAATTCTTACTTAATTGTTTCGGTTTATTTTGAGGTATTCTTTAAGAAAATAAAACGGTAAAAATTTTTCGATTTTTTTAAACTTCAACTTCAGATATCTCGATAACTAAACGAGTTATCGATAATTTTTATAAAATTTTTTCGGCTTATTTTGAGGTGTTCTATACAAAAATTATCAGTTTGAGAGGCCTCGGAATTAATCGACAGTTTTGATACAAAATACCCCAGTGTGCGACGGTGTAGTGAGAGTGGCTGATGTAAAAACTGCTAGTGGCACTTGCAAGAGGCCTATTCATCGGCTTGCACCCTTGCCCAAGGAAACAAATGATGCCACAGAACGACAATCAACCAACAAACTGCTTGAGGAAGACAAAATTCCATCAAGGAGGAATAATCCTTCCTTACACCAAGGACTTGCTACACTTCTGATTACCCTACTCATCTTACCACTGGCTTTAGGAGCTGAACTTCAAAATAAGCGATTTGGATCAAGGCTTGGCATTCATTTTGAAGGAATAGGCTCAACAGCCATATCAACCACTGATTGGAACCTAATAATCTACTATGACATGGAAGGATTTTTGGTAGAACTAGCAGCGCTGTCGAATGGCACAAGGGCCCTGCGCCATTTATGTCAAGAAATCACACAAAAAAGCTCATGTCTTTCTCTGGTAGCACATCTGGAACAGACTGAAAAAGAGTTGCAGCTAGATTACGCAATAGTAAAATCTAATCGGCGTAAACGAGGTGCCATTGATGCAGTTGGAAATATCGCTCATTCTTTGTTTGGAGTACTGGACGCAGAATATGCAGAACAAATGTCCAAAACAATCACACACGTTAAGGAAAATGAACTACATCTGCTGCACCTGATCAGAAATCAAACATCCATTGTGGACTCAACCATCAACATTTTGAAGCAGGATCAAAAAGCGGTCAAGAGGAAGTTCGACATCATTGATCAACAAGTGAGTCAAATATTCCAGAGGATCAGCAACGACACGCATGAGATATACCAAGAAAATTTATTTCGAATCTTTTCCTCGTTATCCATCGAACTCACACTTATGGCAGCCAATTTGCAAAGAATGCAATCTGCAATATTAGCCGTTCTAATAAATACTCATCACGGAAAAATAAGTCCTATTCTGCTGACGCCCAGCCAATTGCAAGACAAAGTAAACAAAATTAAACTTCACTTATCAGCACCATTGGAACTGCCTGTAAACCAAGAAGATTTACTCCAGCTATACCAACTCATGACGGTTAAGGGAGGACTTACAGAAAAGCATGTTGTATTCAGCATCACATTGCCTCTGGTAGAGCATGATCGATATGACTTATTCAATCTGCTACCAATTCCTACTTGGACTAATGGGACTATGATTGAAATAAGTCCGTGTGCTGCAGTTTTGGCAATAAACACAGCTCTCGGTCATTATTTCCCGCTTCTGTTCTAAAATTCAAATTCGTTATAGTCACGGTTCATCTAAATGCGCATGTGAAGTAAATTTATTCAACAACAACACCCAGTCAAGTTGTCAACTGCGAAAAACAACAAACGATGTTGCATGGATATCACTACAGCATAAAAATCAATGGATTTATGCCACGTCAGTTTCATCTCGTGCAACCGCAGTATGTGGAAAAGAAATCATTCAGGTGATTCTAAAAGGATCAGGACTGTTATCACTCCAACCAGACTGCATACTCAAACATAATTTTATATCAGTTCAAGCAGATCAGTTGATATCGACGAGTCTTTGCTCGTCCTACACTAGCCTGGGAGAAATTTCCGAGGTAGTAGCAGCAGAACATATAAAGCCTCTTCTTCAATCACGGGATGATGAGAAATACATAACGCAAATACAAAACCTTACGTCCTTACAATCATCATTGGCCAATAAACACATATTAGAACTCCCAAACAAACTTGAAGCACAAAATGCGCACCACATAACGGTTGGGTACACTGCCTTGGTTACAGTTTTGTGCCTTTTGGTGTTCATGCTAGTCAAAAGAAAATTTAAAACAGCCAAACAGGAAACATTGCACGCATCCACGACTGCGACCACATCCGGTCAAAATGAAAAACCCACACCTGCGCCTCGACATTCTCAAGGAAGTTTGGACTTTACGATAAACATTTTGGGCAGAACCTGCTAAGGAATTCGAGCTGCGCTCACCGGGGGAGGATGTTATTAAATAAGAAAAGTCGACATATTAACATTGCATTGGCTTTATTCAACAGGGTATTAATTTTCGCTTGCATTCTTTTATGCGTAGCTTGCACTTTATGCCTCTTAGTGTATTCTTATAGCCAAATAATTTGGCATGTGTCAAGTTACATATAAGACATTGTTGATTAATGCACGCAAATGAAAGTAGACGCAAAATGTGGAATATGCTTATGTCAGCAAAAACGTGGGAATAAAGCCTTTGCATTAATTATGCTTATGTAAACCAAAACATGGGAATAAAGCCTTTACAATAATTTTGCTTACGATCTAAAGTTTTTATGGCCTCATTATTTAAGCATTTAGTTTGTATTAAAACGTAATCATTAATTCAATAAAGATCACTTGAAAGCAATCAAGCAAACCACAGTGTTCGAACTTGGCGTAATCGCTATTATTCTGAACACATATATTTGATCTAATTGTTTGCTGAAATATCCGGATTTTTAATTCTTTTTATTAAATCTTATCCCAAATCAAATCCCCACTGGAATCAGATGTGGTAAAATACCTAGATACTTACATTTCTTATAGCTACCTTTCCGGTACAGTTTGACTACGTTGCATAAAATTTGTTTGAGAAACGCTTATTTAACAGCACTACATGTAACTCGCGTTCAAACAAAAAGAAAAACGAAATTAAGAAAAAATTATAAGGTAAATCTGCAGATATTTCAAATAAGCGCATATCAATAAATATAAATAGTCTACAGTCTATAAATGTAGGGAAATTTTATTTTGACAGACAAAAACCAAAACATAAAAACATGAGATCATGAGATCATTACAACGTACGCCAACAAAACAAAACAACTTATCACACATAAAGCACAGAGAATTTTTTACAATGCATGAACCTTTTTTATTCTTTACAAAAATACAGTTTATACTAAATATATGAAAAAACATAAAAATAAAATTGTTAAACTTTGTGCTAAACTCGGGAAAATTCAATAAATATGCATACAAATTTGCAACATTCTAATCAGACTTTATAATAATGTTTAAAATGAAGTTTTGGAGCCCATTATATTTTAGTTGATTTTTGGTATTGTTTTTACTGAGAGTTTCTTCCATACAAACTATGTTTGATAATTATTTTTATATGGAAGACACTGCCAGCAAAAAAAAATAAATGCTAAAAATCAACGAAATTTGCTGGCAACTTCAGATTTTCACTTTATTAATTGGCTTAAAAGTTACATTTTAAATATTTTTCTAAAAGATCTGATTAGAAATAGTGATCTGATTAAAGAGCCTACGAGCTAATAATATTGTACGGCACTGTACTTATAAGTACTCTAGGTTTCATGAAAGCAAAAATATAAGTACAAGATAACATTAAAATATCAGTCATATTTTTCGTTGCTGTGAACTTGCTTCAAAACTTCTGTATTTTCCTTAATATAATTGTAAAACTCTGTGCACGTCATTTTGAACGTATTTAGGTACATATCGATGGCTGAGTGGAAGATCGTCCTATCTTGGCAGCCAGTTCGAAAACGCTCAGAAAACTTTTCAAGAACGCCCTACTTCAGAATTTGGTTGAATAACGCCCTATCTCAGAATTCGGTTCAAAAACGCCCTATCTCAAAGNGGAAATCACCACATTTCCTCATCAGACTTCAAATTATTGTTGCTTCTCCACAATAAATTTTCATTTAAAAAACGGCCTCGAGCTCAATATAAATTGTTGAATATAATTGTTATAAGGCCAAAAAATAAAAATAAAACAAATAACTTAAGGACGTGCACACCTAAAAGTTAAGCATTCTAAAAAATAGAATTATTAGCTAAAACCAACAATACCAACAACGAAATTATCAAGTGAATTGCAGCGGAATAGCTGCGCTTGATTGTGTTGGCATAACAAAANACGTTTTTGAATCGGCATCAACCAAATACTTAGCTAGGGCGTTTTTCAATCAAATTCTGAAGTAGGGCGTTCTTGAAAAGTNATAGAATTATTAGCTAAAACCAACAATACCAACAACGAAATTATCAAGTGAATTGCAGCGGAATAGCTGCGCTTGATTGTGTTGGCATAACAAAAATGAAAATAGTGGAAATAAGCAAACGATAATTTACAAGGCGTACTTAGCACGGTGCATAGGCAACTGGCTGAGTCAGTGGGATCGTCGGAAATTACCAAATTGTGGCAAGCATCGTCGCGCACTCAGCTACAGCTACAGATATGTAAATGTGCATTTAAATGTTGAGTTTGAATCAACACCACGCGTGCGTGTTATGAAAGTATTATTTTTAAATACGAACATTTTTAAACGATAATCAAATAGAAAATATTCATNTATAGGGCGTTTTCGAACTGAGATAGGTCGATCTTCCACTCAGCCATCGATATACTAATCATCAACTATTGCTTGTGCAAAGTTCAACTAATTCGAAATGTGACTATTTCACAAATTAAACCGGTGCACTGAGAGAAAGAAGTTTAGAATTAAAAAAGCGTGCTAANGCATAACATT